TCCCAGGGGGTTTCAGGTTAATGAAAGTGAAAGATGATAGGGATGAAACTTGTGTTTTGTTGAAAGAAAAGTAAGGTAGTTGGTTAAAAAAAAATGTGGATTAGGCAGAGAAAATCGCCCCCGGACGTTCCTCTTTCAGGAATGTCTTTGAAAAGTAACGAATATCCTGGACCATTTTGTAACCTTGATAGGCTCTGGAAAGAGCCTTGGAATTCTTTATGATTTCTCGGGAATTCTAGAAACTTGTGGAGATCTTTTTTGTTTGGAACTCCTTGACGTGTCAATCCCAGTAAAGCCACAAAATTTGGAATAAATGTCTTCATTTTGTTTTTCAAATGGCCTGGAGGTGCGGGGAATGATTTTTGTATAAAGTTGGCAGTTTTCAGAGTGAAATTTGGCATAGTCTTCCAAGATGCTGGTTAGTTCTTAAGTCAAAAAGAAGTCTGGCTCCGGTTATATTTTTACGTACAGACAGGTTCAGACTAACACAAAAATCCAGTTTCATTGTCACTTCCTAACTTAATTTGGGGTTATATTTAAATATTAATGTTGTCCTAGATACCTGTTAATAAAGTATAAATTTACTAAATGAAAATAATTTGTTTATGGTTAATTGAAGACTCTTAGTACATGATGATTGATTTATTTGATTTCTACTGTGTTGAGAGGCCATGTTATTTTGTAGATTTGTCAAGATAATAATGAATGTTAGAGATCAAAAGTTTCCGGGTAGCTACTTTAGAACAGGCAGTAGAGTTATCTGTTGACTCATTGTTTCTTTTACTGTCTTCATTGTGTGATTTTAGTAAAGTCTTTGTAAGATCATGAAGTTTTCAAACATTTTAATTAAAGTGTGAAAAATGTACTAAACTGACTTGAAGCTGGTGATTTAAGTTTTTGTGTGTGGGTGAAAATGAAAAAATGCACAGAGCTTTGCGAAAGGGTAGGGTAACCCAAAGAGATAAAAGTCCGACCACTTTTAATGTGATTGGACTGATGGTTTGAGGTTTTCGAATGAAAAAAGTGAGGACCGTATGTGTGAAAAAAGTGCATTTACACCGTATGTTATGTTTGAGGGTGTGATATGGGCTTTATTCATTTCAAATTTCCGTCGACACGTTTAAAGAAAGTTAGCAAGCTGCAGAATACTGGGTTACTTTATGGCAAAGAATAGTTCTCTTAAATACACGACAGAGGGCGGGCCTGGCCGAGACCGCGTGGTGACGTCTGCAATTTGATCCGACCGCTCAAATGGACCGTTAAAAAAAAGACGCAGCGCCAGGTGGATGATAACGTGACGTGAGTAGGCCTAGTACATAACATTCAGTTCAGCATTTGCCAACATGAAACTGAACTTTAAGGAGCTAAACTTTCCGGAGTATTCTCTGACGGCTGCCGCGATATACCTGCCCTTTTGAAGTTAAGAACACGGAGGATGGAGCTCCGGATTAAAATCAGGCGGATTGTCACAGTCCTGGGCCTCGTCTTCGTCAATTTGGCGGTTCTGAAGGAGAACATCGCCAGTGCCACGGTGAGTGTAATTTGTACATTTTGTCACCGTGATCGAACGAATTGAACGGCCGTCCCATCGGCTTTCAGGCTGTCGTGCCAGTATCGAGCTAAGTTGAGTGGCGAACTATGCGTTCGCAACAAGATAAGTTTGTTTCGGTGTAAAAACTTATCCAATAATAGTCGCTGTTCATAAAATGGTTCATGGTGGGAGTGTTTCATTTTGGAAAGTTGTTTTGGCAGAGAGGTCAATATTGTGCCCTTTGGTAAAGCCGTTGCTAAGCGTTGCGGTTCAGGGACGCGGAACTGGTGTCGTATATCAGATGAAAGCAACATTCTTTGCCTCTTATTCGATGCCTTAGTGTCCCAAAACAGTGTCGTGGCTTTTGAGACACAGCGTCATTGTGTTTATAATGGAACAAGCCTTGAGCACTTTCACACATGGATTTTAACAAAATTATTGTTAAATTTCTTGGGCCTTTGCCTCTCCTTTACAGACTTTAACATGTAGATTTTTTTTCAGTGAATTGAGAAATGTCATCTACGAGTTGGACTACATGCACTTCTGAGTTCTATTTTAAAAATGGGAATTATTGTTAGAAACCAAGAACAAAGATGTAGAAAAGTATGCTTTTGTGAAAGGAGTGACATGTTTCCAAGACAGTGCAAGATTGAAGTAGAATCACATTTTGTCTGGTTCCATTAAACTTAAAACAAAATAAAAAACAGCCTCATATTGTTTAGTTTGGTTGTGAACATTTTTAAATGTGGACCATGCAAAATTGATTTCATGTAGAATAATTACATATTTTCCTTCGCTTAATGTATCGCCAATATTTGTTTTGGTTTTGTAAATAGGCTTACAGTGTCATAAAATCTACACAGCCCATTGTCTAAGTTGTCAATGATTGTCATTAAGTTGTCAGTGATGACAGTAAAATGCTGGGAATTAAATTTAGTCAGTGGTGCATTCACTCGAGGTTGCTTATGCCCTTGCGTCATCTCAGTGTTCTTGGTTTATTGCATCGTGACCTTGAAAAGTCCACACCAGGGTCATGGGCAGGTTTGCCTTAGCTTGGCTCTGAAAGTTTGATAAGATTAGGTGAGATGTATGCATGGAATCTGCAGGTGCCTTTTTTTTATTAATATGCTGCATCTTGCTGATGCTTGTAGAATCTTGTAAGATCAAAAACAATTTTGATAATTGTCGTGAAAGCAAAGATATTTTCTAACTGTGGAACTGCAGTTTTGGGTGATGTTGGCAGCTGAAATGAAATGAAAAATAAATCAAATTTACTTTAAGAGAATTGAATTCAGAAAATTTGGGAGATGTGCTACATTGATGTTATCTTCTCAAGATGAGTTCCAACCAACAACAGCTGCATTTTCACAACAGAATCATGGCAGCGCTGAGATGGATGCCTTACCGATGCACTGGTTCATCACCTCGCTGCAATCTGTCTGCACCAGAGTAAATGCATGGGGCCTGCACAGCATCTCTCTCCGCAAATTCCAATTACTAAACGTAGATTAAGGGGGGTTTAAGCCTGAGTCGTCCTAAGCCCGTCGCGGGAAAAACAATCGGACTGTGGATTACGCTTTATTTCAATTTGAGGCCGTGTGCTATTGCGAAAAATGTCAGAAAACTGTCAGGAACTGCAGATTTTTTTTTCGGGGGGGGAGAGTTTTGCCATGGTCAAGCTTAGAATTTTTTGTGAAGAAGTCAGTGCAAAAGTGGCTGTGCATGATTTGTTTGGAGCAGTGAACGATTAGATTGCTGTATTAAGAAATCCTGCTAGACCTGTGCGGTGAAATCAGGCCTTTTACAAAATCTTTGTATTTGCTAGGATCTGAAGACTTGTTGTGCTTAGCAATAAATATTGCCTTGGATTTGTAATTTGCTACAAATAAAACATGAAATGAAGTAAATACGAAGATGCTGCCATGCCCCTAGTTACAATGGATTTGTACGCATGCTGATGAAAATTAACTGCGCTCTTCTGACTGTACATGCACATGGACAGACCGATGGGTGAATCTGGTGTTTCCAATCTCCTGCTCCTGCAGATTGGTCACACCTTGCCGCTTGTCCATGTAGCTTGTGTTTAAACAGCAATTCGTAATGAATTTCAATTTCCCCTTCAATGTATTGTTTCTTCTCTTGACTGCAGTCCGAATGTGAGCTGCCCGTCAAGCACGGAGAGGTAGCCTGGCAGTCGAACCTTACCGGCACTGTAGTCGACGTGAAGTGGAATTATGGCAAGGTGAGAAAAACCGTGTGCCTCGCTCACCAGTCTGTCGCTGCAGGCTGGTTTTGCTTTCATCTCTGACACTCCTCCCCCCCCCTTTAATTTTGTTTACCAGACACTTTATCTTCTCCACTTCCTTGGCTTTCAAGGTCACCTTCCTTAGCACCTTCCGCAGTCATGTACGTGGGCTTTTTACAAGTTGATATTCATACCCGTGCCTCTGTAACAGTCGCTCCTTTTCTTGGAGAGATTCCATAATGACGGGGCTTCCGTGTTCTTAGTTCAGTGAACCAGTCCGCTCCTCATTTTGGTTATGTGAATTAGCAGTCCAAATGAAATGTAGAAACCTGGTGTTTGTACATGTAGATCACCTTTAATTCATTTTATTTATTTATTCATATTTTTGATACAATATAAATAGTTTTATTTTTCTTGAGTGTTTCATGTTTGGATTGCCATATTTAGCAGTAGTAGACAGCAAGGAAAGTTGCAATTTAGTTTGGGATCATTCTGTCAATTTTTATGTCCGTTTCACATCTAACATATGATTACATGTATGTAAGTTCAGAATACATTATTGAATTTCCAAGAGTAATTAACTACTTATGCAAATTACCTGCCTAGCAAATGTTTGAAATCAATGTCATTGATGTTTCCTTGTCAGGTTACTCAGGTCAAGTGTAAGAGGGACACACAAGTGAACACTTTTAGATCCCAAGTTTAAAGAATGACCCCTTTACAAGTTCCTGCTCTGACACATATTAAGACCAGTATAAGACGAGTAAATATGTACTTAAAATCCTCAGGGTTCTTAGGCCACATTTGAATTTTATGCCTAGAGAGCTCGGTCTAGCGTTGCTGGTGTACGAAGTACACGTATATGTAGGTTTGGTACAGTACTTGTACTGTAGAAATGCCGAGAGTGGACAAATCCATACCTCACAAACACCCATTTCAGACCTTCTCAGAGCCATATCCGCCATTGATGAAATTGATGAATCTTCAAAGGACATATATGTTATCTGTCTTTAGTCTCTATTGCCCTTATATAAACCAATACATGACCTGCACATGTTCATGTAGACTTAGCACAGATACGTTTATGCACCGATATTTATTCTCTGGTGATTGTACAATGTACATGTACGTTCACTGACATCCCAGTACTGAATTTTTTTTTCAGCAGTAATACCGAACTTCATTGAGTTACAAAACAGCATTTTCCACTCTCTGGAGGATTGAAATTACATTCATCAGGAGTTAAAATGCCCAGAGGTTTTTTGAACAAAGAAGCAGATCAGTCCGCAAGACTTGACGTGTATTTGTGTAAATTCACTCCATCTGCATGTCATCATTGTGCGTTGCTGCATTATGGAAGCAAACGCGTTTTCTGCCTTGCTCGGCGACTTCTTTTTTTTCTTTACTTCATTGCCTTGCCCGTTTGGGCCACATGCTAGCAATTCAGTATTTGTTTACAGGAAAGCCCTACAGACACTTTCCCTTAAACAGGATTTTTATTTCCTGAAAGGAGAGCAAAAGTGGTGAGGGACTCAGCTGGAAAGTTGCTTTAAAAAACCTGGAGTTCAGAGGCCCTCTGAGGAATTTCAAGTACTCCCAAGGGAAATAAAACGTGAGGGGATAAGGCTTTGGTGTGAGTTACAACCATTTTCGTCAAATCATCACAATAATATCGCTTGTCATTGTGTGCTCAGGGAACTGTGGAAGATTCAGTCAAAATATGGAGTCGGATATCCTGTGGCACTAATTACGGAATAGCCCATTTACTTGTTGGACGAGAAAAAATAATGTGAATGAGAATGTAAGGTGCCTCCTGACTTGGTAGAGCACGGCGAACTGAATCTGCTGTGGTGGCGAGATACAGGTACCAAGAGGACTTGAAAAATATATCACCGGCCAGATGAATGGAAAGAACTCATACGTTATGCCAAAACCTGAAACAGAATACTAGCAAAAATGAAGACTTTTTTTTTAAGTTGATGGAATTTTAAGCAAGTGGTCTTTGAGGGAGGGATGAATTCAAACGATTGAAAAGGACAAAGAAATGATTGTGCTAAGTGCACATGTAGTTTGGGGGCCGCTCATGTAAGTTCAGACACTGCATTCATGTTGGCAATATTACATGTCCATGTACTTCAAGTGAACGGTTTTCCTCTGTAAAGTAGGGTTTAATTTCTTCATCAGCCTTCATACGAGAAACTGGTGTTAGAAATGTCAGAAACGTAATCTAGTTGGGAAAAATATGACAAACCATTGAGTTGCATCTTGCTCGGGACAGCTATACATGTATTTGTATCCTCGATTCCGAGCTGACCCGTTTCGTAATCGGTGTTGCAATTGCCTTCTCTCTCCCTCCCCCCAAAAAAATAATATAAAACAAATTTCATTAACGGCCACAGTTCCAGACTCTTCTTCCGAATCACCTCACACGGCCTGATTGGATTAGAGTCGCTGACTTAATTAGCAGCCGTTGCCATGGCGATGTTTAATCCCCTTAGCCCAACCTGCCTTGCCAGGGAAGTTACGATTTATCCCAGCTACTTTGGAGATTGTTTCAGGCCGTGGTGCATTCAGTCCCCCTGTTTCCTCAAATCTGTTGCATCCCATCCCCTTGAAAGAAAAAATAAAATCAGTTATACACAGCATAATATCAGTAATTAATGAGTTGGTCTAGAAATGGCTTTTAATGGATTAAGGAGAAAAAAATTAAGATGTTTAAAAAGGAACAAGCTTGACAAAAGAACAAGGAAACCTTATTTGAAAATCTGTAGATTTCAAAGGTTCCTGTTGTGTTGGTTTTTTTTTTGGTCCATTTCAATAGTATTTTTGTAGGATTTGGGGTGTGTCGTACATGTGTAGCTTCAATTAGCATTAAAATGTAGATTTTTGAATGTAGACGTGGAAGTTCCACAAATTTATTTTCAGCTTGAAGTCCTGTCAGCAAAAATATTGGTTCTAGTGCATGTGAACTTCTTGTACTGAACTTACATGGAAGGCAAGAAGTCCCCATCAGGCCCATAGGCTGGGAGGGTTCAAGGGGTTCGGACAAACCTTCCCTTCCCCCCTCTCCCGCTCGCTTCTGAGTTCCGCTTGTTGGTTGTCTTTTTTGTTTGTGTGTGTGTGTGTGTACTGAATGTTTTAAATATACCATAATATTCGGCATACAAGCCACCGCTTAGACGTTGATTCTCAAACTCAAGGTGACCACGATTCTGCATATTAATTAAGTAGTCAATCTCCAGTCATATGTCCCGTCAGGAAGTTCCGGCAAATATCCACATTTCAGATGTTTCAAAGGGATTGAAATCAATGTATCTTTGTTAAGTTTATTCAATACTGCAAACTAAAGTGTACAAGTCTTTGTACATGCAACCTTTGGTTAGCGACAGACATGCAACTTTTCAATGTTGTTTTCCAAAGCACATTGGGATAGGCCTTTGTATAAAAATATGTGTTCACAGTGCCAGAAGTTCTACTTTTTGGCTTGACGAACCTCCCCCCTCTGGTCAGGCAACGGGCCTGCCCATAAATAAAATGATTCATTTGTAACAGCACCAGAACTATTAAAATCAAGATCACTTCAGAGGCAGTGGTCTGTGAAGACGTGGGATTGATGTAACAATATACATGGTGGAGTTCACACGTGGAGGCATGCATCAAAAAGAAGCCTGCAAATGGATGTTTCAATGGCTTGTTATTCGTCAGACAAAAACTGCAAACGTAAGCACAAAAACCAGACGCACGGCTGTGAATATCTCACTAAAATCTGGCAATGTGCAGTTAATTTTGGCCTCGTGTTACGCACGGTTCTTGATTTCTCATTTCAATACCCTCTTGATGGGATCGGGTGTGATGTAAACGCTTTAAAGATTCATATCATCGCGCGTGCGCTGGGATGTGCACCCAGATGGGCCCTGGTGGTGAAGAGGTACATGTATATCCGAGGAAGGACTTGAGAAGGAAAAAAAGGAGCAGAGAAAAAGTCAAAGAGCGTCCAGTAAGTAATTTATCCTCTCAGAAAATATGGATGCAGTTCAGTTACTGTAGATGGTACTGGGCTTTAGTGATATGTTGCCGGCCTCCCCCCACACATAACTAGAATGCTCGTTAATTTACTGTAAAAATACAGCAGCATTATTTTGCACTAAATACTTAATCTTGCGTAATATCACCAAGGATTCCTCAAAAAGGTCCATGATACTGCAATTCAAAAGCCTGAAGGGGAGGGGGAACTCTCAGTCAAGAAATGTTCAGAGTTACCTCGGCCAAATATTCTGTGGAAACCCAGGAACTGAAAATCCAATCCACATGTCAGCCTACATGCACAGGCACATACATGTAGATGGGGTATGAAGGCACGGAAAGTGTAGTTAGCATTGCACCAACCTGGCTACCTTTCAACTCTGACAATGAGGATTGAATGCAGCCCAGTGGATCCTTAGTTGTCATATCCAAGACAAATCTGGACTCTCAGCGTTTAAATGTCGACTGAAATCCCTGATTACCACAGGTTGGATGAAGTAGCGTTCTTGGGATTAGAGTTGGTTTGGTCAAGAAAATAATGGTCCATACAGTCTCTGAACACCTGCGTGGTGATCCTGAAAGACCAAACGAGCTGCAGGCCGACAGTGGTTTTGTCCCATCATGAAAAACTCAAGTGTCTAGGTTCCCTGCCGTGCATTATGATGCACCCAGAGGTATACCCAGCAAGAAATGAGACCCAGGTGTACCCCCCCAACATGTCCAATCCCTATACACATTCCAGACTATTGTTACTTAACACATCCCCCCCCTAAGATGTCTGAAAGGAATTCCCCAGATTCCTGCGAGACAATGACCAACACAAAGCAGGGGAGGTTCTCTCCATCTCATACCTTGCTGCATATGCCCAGAGGTGGACAGTGACTGGTGCAATTTAACCTCTAGCTCTGCAGACAACCAGATCAGTCAAGTGGACTTTGCAAATGATCATCTTTGATTGGCTTGTGTTTGACGTGCCGTGGTTGGACAGCGGTTTTCATCAAACTTGCGTCCCAGCTGGCGACAGCGGAACAGATGCAGGTTTAATACTAGCCAGTGTGGGATTGAACCGGATTAAACTAGATTAAACTGGAGCCAGTTCCCTTCAGGCTGAGCACTGATTGGCTGCAGTCTTGGATGTGATTTGTGGCCCGTATTGTGGCGACCGACCGGTACCTCCAGGGTGTTTTTGGCTTTTGGAAGAAGGTCACTCTCCATGTGCAATAGTTACCATTTAGTTGCATTGTACGAATGTACATGTACAGCCTGGGATCCAACAGTGGCGGAACAGTTTTAAACATGGGGGAGCAAGCCCCGGCCGTTAGACTGAAAAGAATACAATTGTGAAGTTATGGAGACCTATAAGGGAGGGAGGACAATATAACAGCCCCCCACTGTTCCGCCACCGGTGCTGGGATCAGTTTTCTTTATGGTTGCAGAAATCAAGGGAAACATCGTGTGCATGTGAAGTCCTCTTGGAATACTTGTTCAACTTTTCCTAAGTAGGACAGCGTAGAAAGCGTTTTTAGTAAGAAGCTGTTTCCGGGTGATGCGCTGGTATGTGTGTACATGTATGCCATTAACGCCCAACTGATATCAGAAATTGTTGATATACTGATAGATATGATAAATGTGCCCGAGGGAAATCCCCTCACTCTGTGAAAGATATTTACTTGACACCTGCAGATTTGAATTTGGGACATTGGTCCAGGAGAACATTGACCTGCATAGTAGCCGAGAACACTTGGAACATTTCCTCTGCAGAACAATTAGAAATTGTTCCCCGAAATTCAAGCCCCAAGTTCAGGTATTAAATACAGTTATTACATAGTTTCATGACCGTGTACAATTGTGGACAATCTATTTGTAGTTATTATGAACATGTTTAGCCAAAAGAAAAACAGAAAATGCCTTCAGCAATGGAGGCCCGAACTGATCCAGTGATCCGTGGCGTAAAAAATATCTTAACTGTTCAACCCGAGAGCAGTGGTTGGGTTTCTGGTCCGTAAGGAGCAGGAGGTAGTGGCGGATCCATAAAATGTATTGATTCGCACCCTCTTTGTGTAGTAATTCCATTTTGCCCGCGACCAACTGTACACATTAGCAAGTTATGATATCCCAACGCTTGGGGCGATCGGATAACATCGACCGGGGCATATGCGTACCGTTTTGACAATACCCTTAAATGGCAAATCCAGGATGGTTAAGTGATGGGGGGGGAGGTTTGTACCGCCGAGCACATCAAGGGGTTAAAGATGTACATCATAGCCAACACGTGTTGAAATTTGAGGTGCAGGTTGTTGGGCAGATAAACTGTTCTACCCAGGTATACATGTATGTTCCACTGGCAATATACAGTAACCACGTGAACCAGGATCCCAATTTGCTGAGAGGCCTGGCTTCCCTTCGGGGGCTGCATGTTCCAAAGGAGGGCACTCTTTAGATTTTATTGTTAAATATAAAAGAGCCCCTAGTCGTCTCCAAATTCTCAGAAGCTCACCAGGGAGGTCACCGGATAAGCAAGAGCCCCCTTCCCCTATCATATTATTGCTTTGATGCAAACATTGCCAACTTCGACCACCAAGTTCCCATCGAACTTGCATGGAAGGACTGCGAGCTTCGGTAACGTTTGTGAGAGTAGGATGGTGCCTGAATTCGTCCACAGGAAACACTCCTCACCAAGCCATCAGACATTCTCACATCAGCTGGCATTGAGCCCCATGTCACAGAAATTTTAGCCCAGGCTTGGCAGCGCCGTAACCAACGTTGGTGGAAAAAAAAACCACGTGGGCTTTCTAGTAGATTAGGAGCTATTGGGATTAATTAAACTGTCGTAAGGCTAGACTTAAATTTGCCTTTGGGGTCCTTTCCTCTTGCTCTGGAGGAAATGCAATAGCTGCAGGAATGAAGACAGCTCAATTTCTCTGGGGAAGTGTCTTCTCCATGAGGAGAAAAAAGGAAATCATCTGTCGTACCTTTGCTTCTTAAGTGCCAACTTTGACACTGTCCTCAGCTCGCCCGGACTTCTAGGATTGCACGCGAACACAACCAAAACTTGACACTCAATTAGGCTTCTCATCCGATTGGTAATTTGGTTGTATTTTATTTCCCTGTCTCATTCCCCAGGAAAATTGCAATTCCGAAGTATCGTGCTTCGGAGTCAACGGCACAGAGAACATTCCCATGGATGTGCAGCTGAAGCCTTTGCAAATCCAGCGCGGACAACTGGTCAGGTAATCGTTAAACATCAATAATCGTTTGATGTCAATATTGATCGTTAAACAGCAGAGTGCTTTTTTTTCCCTCTTGACTCGCAGAATGTATGTTTATGTAGACACTACAGCTTTTGAATTGCTCTGATAGAAGGAGCTCACAAAAAATGTTTAAATTGAGGCACCGGCGGCAAAACATTTTCAAAGTGGGAGGGGACCAGTTGTGAGACCATCGGGCATCGGCCATTAATGGGCCAGTCCATTAAGCCCACCCCATTATAGGACATGCAAAAAAAGGGGGGGACCATGCACCCCCAGTCGAAAAAGTGGGGGGCCTCCTCACGCCACTGTTCAGAGGACTGTATGTACTTTAGACAGGTATAGGGTTACTTGAAGCTGGTGATGAAATGAATCTTTACTTCCAGGGTGATGGAATGCATATTTCTACCTGGGAAATTTAATTTATCCAACAACTCAGGAAATAATTCCGGTTTGGGGTTTTTTGTTTGTTGGTTTGTTTGTTTGTTTTTGTTTTGTTTGGTTTTTTTGGAGGTTGGGGTTGCATCAGCATTCAAGGGCTTCATAAAATGTGTATAAATTACTTTTCTGGTCTGTTTCTTCACACCTCGACGAACATCCAAAGAGTATGCAATATTGTGCCGATCTTGTACCAACTTTCTTGTCATTTAAGGCCCATGACTAATTCACTGAGCATCACTGCAGACGATTAACTGTAGGTGTACTTTTGAGGAAGAGAAATCTGCAGTATCTATCCTCCGTTTGATGCAAACTTCACACCTCCGCTAATTTCCTGATGCACCATTTGAGATGCCTTGAGCATTATACAAGTATCTCTTTCTAATAGTTTCTCTCCATCCCCGTTGAAACTAGTAAGAGACTATCGCTGTTTTCCCTGTATACATAAGCCGCAGTTTCTGACGCCAAGCATGTCTGAGTGCCATGGTAGGGTGCCCAATTTGCAACTCATCTGTCACGGCACCGAGTGGACGCAAAGGCACGTTCTTGACAGCTTAAATCGATGATAGCATGCGGTGCTTATGGCTTAATTGCGCAGTCATCGAATAATTAATCTGTCTTTGATATCGTCTCCAGTACGACCGGCCCGTCCCGTACCTCAAATTTATGCTAACAGGCAAGAACAGGGCATTAATCTGTCCCAAGACGAGCCTGAATTACTAATCGGAGAACAAAATGCTCAGGGATCGGAAGCATGTGTACAGGAATAACCCATTAATTATTCACAGGACAGACAGTGAGATGGGTATAAGACTTAGATTTGGCGCTAGCTCAGGTCTTATGCGCTGTTATACATGTCAGAGAGCTTTCACTGTACGCGTAAATATTGAAAAAGGATTTTCCCGGATGGAGAGGATTGATATTGAAAGGCACAGCGTTGGGTTCAATGTCTCCTCGCTCGGCGACAAGGTTGAAACCTTCATGGATAGTACCACCGCAGAGACCTGAATGAAATTCTTTGCTTCATCGTTCCCCTAGGAACTTCATCCAAGGAGATCACCCAGGTTTGAGTGGCCAGTAACGGTCCTTCCTCTTGCCTCAGGACAGGCCCATTTTCAAAGTGGCGGGGGTCAGGAATCGATTTGTAAAGGACGCGTCAGTGTCCGTGTGTGAAGGGAAACCAGCAAAAAGTCTCAACACCTCTGAAGTTGTCACGGAATAGGTTTGTCCCCCTTCTCAAATGCTGTTTCCGAGGGCCCTCAGTCACTGATTGCATGCTGCCGACTGCCGAGTACAAGTTCCCCTCATATCAATTTAGGAATCTGCCAGCTCACCCCTCCGCCACCAGAGGGTCATGAGTTTGAAGCTCACGCCATACCCCTTAAAGTCTTTCCTTTTATGAACTGTCTTGGGAAACAGTCAAACTGTTGTTCTTTTTTTATAACACCCTAGTGCATTTCACAGTAATTGGTGCAAACAGGGAGAGCAACTTCAAAGGAAGACGCAAGTCGCGAACCTTCCCATTTTTATTCAATTTTATATATAAATCAGAAGATTACTGACTTCACTCAAGTCTTCTGTTGAGGTTGTTCAACCTGTTTGCACAGTGATACACTCTCCAAGATCTACATGTACATGTACACCTCATACTTGTATACATGCCACATTTGGTTTCAACAGCAAGTGCTATCAGATGAGAGGTATAGAGTGCCGAAGTGAATACATGTACGTCACATGCACACCTGTGTGTGTAAAAGGCATGCAAAGGGCATTAGCGAGAGTAACGGCACGTGAACCAACACGCGCGCGTACTCCATTCGTTTGTACAGCATCTACTGGTTCTGAATGACGTCACACTTTGGTACTCAACGGACCTTTGGCAACCAATCCCATGTTTCTCAAATGTGTTTGATCACATCACTACATGCATGCGAATATTTTCTGTTAGTGTGAGTCAATTACCTTACAAATGTACACACCGATGTGCAACAGACTTATTGTGCATAACAGGAAACAGTAAAACAGCATACCTGTACTGAATCTGATGGATGTTTTTTAAAAATGGGAACCCTTCCAGGCAGATGCATTGAAACATGAGTGGAAGGAGCAAAGCATCCTCAGAAAAAATGTCAACATCGGCCGTTCCGTCCCAAGTTGTGCACACACTGTATCTGTTGCACATTTTTGTAGCTTATGGAATTACACTGATAGAGTTTGTGACGCAAGCACGCTGGACTTTCACGTCAGTCGGCGGTCATCAGGTCAGAAGATTGGTTGGAACACAGAGGGAAATAGACATTGAACTGTTGACTTTGTATTAAAATGGCCGAAGGTCGCTCCATAGGAAAAACAGGCAGAGGGAGTATGAGCAGATTCGTATTCTCTCTTGCGTATCCACGACCTGAGTCTTTCTCCGATGGTAAGTGGATTATCACACCATCTCCCTCTTTTAACCCATTCACAGTCTTACCTTCTCCTCCCGATTGAACAACCCGAGGGCCTCCGCTGCGTCAACGTGAAATTCTTTGTGGCGTGAGTTGAGATAAGACCTGGTGAATTAAAGAGTTTCCCCAGGACAATGTACATTTATGGGGAGATTAAAATGAAGCGCAGATCTGTTATTGAAAAAGTCCACGGGATGTCTTCTGATGCCATCTTCTTTTGTCTTGAGATCTTGCTGCATGCTTGCCGTATTCTGCATGAAGAAGGCAGGGCAAGTTTGACAGTTTCCTGTCTGTTCCAGTTGAAACACTAAACAGGGATTTTACCGGAAAAGTAGTATTTCTCTTCCTTTATCAGAAAATGTGAATTTTCTTCAATATTCCTAACAGCGAGGCAGCCTTTCACGAAGAATGATGCTGATATCTTTTTTATTGCAATCATTTGAAAACTATGGAAATTTACTTTCCAAAAGATAAGTGTTATTTTGATACGTTTCCGAATCAAACCCTTTCCTTACTGCCCAAAGTCAGGTCTGAAGGGTTTTATGAAGTTAAATTCAACTGAGTATATGTACGCCTGTACATGTAGAGTATGCATACTTCCAGCAGCTTCTACATGCATGGGCAAAGTCATTCAACTTGCCACTTTTGAATTCACTGGCATGCCTTCATATATTCACCGGTCCAACGTCTTTACTTGAGTCTCTGTTATTGGGAAGTACATGTAAGAGAAGTGAGCACCTCTGCGGAAAAAAAAACTGACCGTCTCAATGAAGGGTCGGTAGAATAACGTGTTTGACAGGCAAAGGAATGGGGGAATGAGCAGGGAACCGGCATCATCCGATGTTGTGTCCTCGAGCTTGTCCGTCGGGTGCTTCCTTAAACATTGCAGTTGATGCTGGGTCCCCTGGGCCGCTTCAACAACAGCCCCTGCCCTCGTTGTTATCAGATGGGGGGGGGTGGAGAGATGGCTCCGACCGAAGCATACGCTATTTGTTTGTACTAGTGTCAGTTCAGCAGGGGGTGAAGGGCTGAAGGTTTTTGGAGGGAAGGTCGTCGCCGTGCGAGGTGCATGTGGGGGGGGGGGGATTGGGGCCTGTGTCTCCCACAGGGATTGGCGTGATTGAGCCTGCGAATCTGTTGGCGACCGTGTTATTGAGTCAGCAGGGAATCGGGCATTTGCGCGCGTGGAGAGGCCAGAGATTGGATGGCATGATTAAAATGGAGTCGGTCATCAGGGTTGGATGCTGTTGTTACAGGACCGTCAATCTACATGGAGGTGATTGACAGCCGTTGATTTTGGCACAGACTTCCCTGCACTTTCACCGCAACTGGAGAGAGATTCTGCCCAAGAGCTTGCCACCCTAAACACATGGCTAACCTATTTCTTGCTTTGCTGCTTCACACTGGGGAAAGTCTCAACTGCTTCAGTCACTAGTACAGGTCAAAGTACAGTCACCTTCGGCTTCACGTGGGGTTTGAAACTGGCAGACTAAACGGCCTCTGATGCGTGCTGCTCAATCGCGTGTCTTTTGCCGTGTCCGCAGATTTGACTTTTTTCAAATATCGAACCGTTGCAGCTTGTGTCGGTGTCCATAGTCATCTTGGTCTCAATCTGCCCGGACCTGGGTATCCTTGGAATCAACATCCGAGGAGCGGTTCAAGTGTTGTTTAAATGCCACTTAATATTAATCCCCCTTGCTCTCCTGAAAAAGAACCAAAATGGCTCTGTGTTGGTGTACCTCAGAAATGTCCATTCAAATCACTCGTCCCGGGAACAGCTTTGAATTTTCATCTGCAGTTTGCCACCCACTGGATTTTTAATGTGCACTTATCGTGTTGAGTTGGTTCATGAAATCTGATTTTTCATCACAAATAACCATGGCAACATTGAAGTTGCGCTTTTGCAACTTCTCCCCAGGGTGTTGACAAAAAGGGCAAAAAAACTAATATCCTTTGTTCAGCATTCCTCCGGCAATACCTGCAGTGCAGCAATAAACACTACGAATGGCTGTAGATCAATCGGAAACCTAGCAACGGATTTAATCAAAAATCCCCCCCCCCCACCGTCAGCGGTCCATTTCTGGATTGCCCGGTTAAGCTCAGTGTTCCTTTACGACTCGTTGCACATGCAGCTGCGAGTTCCACAAATTAGATACATATACCTCTCCTTTCATCTTCCTTTTAAAGTCCCCCCCCCCGCGAATAGTGACTCAGTAGTGAGCCAAACATAATCTTATACCGAACATGGCTATCTTGCAAGATCTTTGTGCGCATATTGGAATGCGAATTGCAACTTGAAATGCAAATTTCCATTTTGTCGTGACCAGTCTCTCTTCCTGTCTTCTGACAAAGCACTGTGCAAGCCGTTGTAGAATAGGAGCTGGCCATCCATTTTTTTTTTCCCTCTCTTTTTTTTTGGGGGGGAGGGGGGAAGATGCCCTTCATGTATTCATGAGTGTACCATAGATGGAATCATCCGAGGATGCACAGGTGAAATATCTTTAATTGAGGACAGGGATCCACATGTAAATGACCAAGCGCTTGATTTTGAAACATACACGAACCTAATTGGAGCCGTTCAAAAACTGTTTAGTCATTTTAAAGAAAGGAAGAACAACAGGAAGTTGATTTGGTTTTATTTCAAAGTAGCTTGCTCTGTACTCTGTGCTATTTTATAGGGCTTTTTGAGTGTACAGCACTGCTCCCACATCAGATCATTTTAAATGTGATAATTTCAATGAATGAATATTTAAGTAGCATGAAGTATCAAAAACAAGGTCCTTTAAAAACAAATCAGAAATATGTGTAAACTGAAAGATGTACGTGTATTTATAGAATCTGAAATTAATATTAGCTTTCCACAATCAAAATGTCCATCAGTCTTTCAGACATGCCAGGAGCTGTCAAAATGGCCGAGGCAAAGAAAGAAAGAAAGGGGGGAAAAAAAAATTTAATCTCCCAAATTGTTTCTGGGCACACTGAGCTCTCGCTGAACTCAATCAATTGTAGATGCAGCAGAAGTCATCTCCTCGCATGATCGACTGAACCGTGGGGGGGGGGAAGGGAGAAATGTGAGCTGCACAAACAGCAGAGTTCACATCGCGCAAGAATAACATTTGCACGAACCTCCAGGAGTTTGAATGGAGACCGAGAGATATCCAGTTTCATCTTTTGTCCGTGAAGTGACACCGTTCGCTCTTTTCTCCTTCTCCCCGTTTCTCCCTGTCTCAGCGCCCAAAAGACGGAATTAATTTTAGTGCCGGCATTGTATCCAGCCTTTTATGAGTCGGTTGTGTGTACTGGGAAATGCCAGAGCACAGTTGATGCATCTGACATTGACATGGAGCGTGCGTACGTGTACGCGTTTAGTTGTGCATACGTGCACGGCAGACAGAAAATTGAATACACAGGAGGACATCCTGGTAGCGCTCTGCCTGACAAGCTTTGAATTCAAGATTTCATGCGTGCAGACTTGTCAACAGATTATGAACAAGTTTTCAATTTTTCTAATATGATTGGGGACTTGTCTAGGTAAGCAATAGTCGCCCAGGCCAAGTTTCATGGAGTAGGTAATGTCCCTGGGCAGTTTTACTTTCTAATTTGTGCCGAGTGTACATGTAACTCAGTGTAGAAGTGTTCACAAGCAGTATAAAGCTGCTTCTGGCAAGTGTGGTATTTTGCTCCATAACAAGTTGCTTTCTGTGCCATGACAAATTTGCTGCTGTCAGTGTTGCGCTTTTCGAGGGAACTTCCTCCTCCCATATACCTGTTTAGCCCCACCCCCATGAATGCACCCACTTAAGAAAATTCAGGGAAAGTACTCACAAGTGTGTCAGGTGTTCAAGACACACGTCAGCTGCCCCTCATTCTATGTTGTCTCCAAAAACCTCTCATGGTAGTAAAAATTAAAAGGAAAATTCCAGAGCTTTGTAAGCCTTGCATAGATAATTCATGAACAAACTGAGGAAACCAACTCTTTTTGACTGACACTGATACAAAACAGTTTACACCTTAAAAGTTGTTTCTACATGTTTTACATGTACTTCTATTCACTTGTAGTCTTGTCCTCAAGGCGTACATTCTTAAAACTATTTTCTTGGCTCAAACAAAATGTTATTGCATTTGTACCCTGTCTGACACATCCTCTCTTTGCTTTCCCCTGTGTAGTTGCTAATTTCCCCAGAGGTTCAACTTGGCTCGTAGTTTGGCTTTGACACTCTTTCAAAGACATTTATTCCCTCCCGTACCTCACAAGTCCCCTTCTCATCAAAGTCAGCCCCCATCAAATGCCCTTTGTATCCAGCGATCCTGTTACCCATCGCATTGGGCTATCCAGTTCCTCCCCCTCCCACCGATATTAGACCATGGTTCTCCCCAGGGGCTCGAATCATGTAAATTTGCTGTAAAACTGCAATCGAACCTTGTCGCAAGAACAGAAGAGGACCCGCGGCAAATTTGCTTGGTGTCAAACGTAGGGGGCTCGGCGAGCAAAGTGTAGGCTGAGCCCGATATTTGTCATCGGATCACACAAAGCGAGTCAGCAGTTAATACCAAGGTTGTTATTTTACATGCTGTGCATAACCATGCCCACAGCAGTAAGAAACATGTTGAATGCAAATTATCGCTTGTGCTAACACTTTGGCGCTGTCTCTGCTCTGTACACATTTTTTTTCCTGTCATGCAAAATGCTTTACTTTGACAGAAGTTGTCGCCACGCAACTACACCCTTAACACTGACACTGCATAATGTTTTTAGAGACAGTTTTTTGTCCTTCGCCAGTGCTAAGGATGTACATGTACATGTACAAGTGTCTCTTGTGTGGCAATGCTATGAGTTTGTGCACATTCTGTTGAAAATCACTTTCATGCAGTTGCTCCTCAGGCAGTCACACTACAAACCACTGCTGTTGTTGAAAGACTCCATCTTGATTGGGGACTTCTCTGTACAATATTTTTTGTTTGCTTTGAATCCCAGTTATTTCCCCCGATGTAATAACCTTTCCCTGTGTCTCAGAATCTCTGGTCAATGCCCCTTCATTAATGCTACTGTACTGTTTATGACAATCATGATGACAAGCCATTTATGGAAATGTTTTCAAGACAACAGTCCACATCAACGCTGCCCGCTTGCTAATGACAATCTGTAATCTGTATGATCTGCTACAAGAAATCCATTAGCTGGGACTTTGATTCTTTTCGCCTCAGTAAATATTCCACTGCAAAATTTTACGAAAGAAATGTTTATTCAACTCTGCAGTGCTTTCACTGTGTTACTGTCAAGCTACTGGCTTGTAAGTACAACACTGTTGTAAGTACTTCTGAAGCCCTATCTCGGATCGTTATCTGGCAGGCAAGTGAAAGTCTTGTCAATTCTTTTGCTTCAGTTAGCTTCTAGTGCTTTCAATCTAGGCATGGGATCATTACAGTTCAAACCAATAAAGATTTGCCTTCGAGTCTGAAGAAGAAATTCTTCCTTGTGCAGAGCATATATTAAGCAAATCAGTGATCTACTCAAACTTGAAAGTTGTACAAATCCGTCATCCTCCATGCCTCAAAGTCGATCCCGTGCATATTTTGCACTTTTCAACAAAAGCCGTTGCTGCCCTGAGCATAATAATCAGTGCTGATGCTCCGAAAACACATCTGTCACAAAAGAATTGTACGAGTGAATTGTGTTGACATGCTGACAAGCCCACAGGAACAGAAAGAGGGGTGCCTTGGGGGAGGGGGGTCTGTAACACCCCCAAACTTTTGGGATGGGGAGAGTGGAATATGCAAGAGCACTCCCTTGTTACTTGCGATGGTAGACATGAATGCAGTTCCTGTAACCCAACCCTCTTGGGCAAAAATTTTGATCCAGCAGGCCTGACTTTTGACGGAACCAAGAAACAGCCATCGAAAGATTTCCCACTTGGCTAGTCCACCTTCACACACTTTCTAGGCCAAGTGACTTTACATTTTACCCCGCTGGACATGAAGCCCCCCCCCCAAAAAAAAGGGTGACAAATGTTATATCAGACTCCTACCTTTTAGCTGTGAGAGATCAGCGACGGTGGAGATTTTTTTTCATGTCTGAAGAGATTGAGATATTCTCTCTCGGTACCCAGCCGGTGTTGGTCCCCAGTCTTCACAATTAATGATGGCAGTGATGTAAATGAAGCTCAGCATGAAGGAATCAGCCCAACAGCAATCCGGACATGACTCGGGAACAGACCCGTTGATTACACGTCGGCCGATGGAGAACCAACATGTCTCCTTTCATCAAGGTTAATGGATGTGGATGCGAGCAACGGGGGAATTTCTGTGACTGCACTGGGAAATCTGAAATGTTAACAAAAATGTTACTGTAGCTGATTGATCCTGTTTGATTGTTGAATGATCACGAGGCAGTTTTGACAGCAAAGGAATAATCTCTTTTAGTAATTCACTCAAGGGTTCTTTGTTGCCTAGCAATGCAGACGACATGATCACACCTTCGTGTCTTTTTGCTTGACCTGTTTGGCAGACTTCCATAGCAGGCGTACGGCCAGGTATTGTCGGCATGGGTCGCACGTTGGAAACAAGCCAGTGACCACTTTGATGCCTTCCTCAAAAGACCTATGTAGACAGGCAGGTACATATAAAGGAGGACGATGGGTCGCGTCAGATTTGGCAGCAACTTAAAATCACTGAGAGGGTGTCAGCTGTACATGTGTATAGCTCTGATTTGGACAATCAGTTGTCACCTTTTTATATTGTTTGACTACTGTTGCATCGACCGTATTATGAGATGTACGTGTAAACCGTGCAACTTCTGGGTTTTTTTTTTACCAGACTGAAAGTAGAAAAACAACCCCAAAAGCCCCCTGTTGAGGAAAGGAGAGGAAGATATCAGTCACCTTTCGCAGGAGCAGTTTACATTTTTGCTCACTGCAAAAAGGAAGACATTAGCCAATTGATTTTGTGGTCTTTTGTCGTTCTTTCTCCAGGTTTGTGCCGGGCACTTCCTTCAGCATGCAGGCTTTCCGCGTCGACCTGGAAGGCTTTGATGCCTGTGACTCATCGTACGGACAGGCCGTCTCAAACCAGCCGGTGACAACTGCGTTTATTGTAGAGGAACGATATCTCGCCCTGGGCAGCAATCTGTTTATAGGTGAGTTTTCCCATGCATATCTAGGCCATTTTCTCCCCTCTTTTTTTTTTTCTTTAATCAGTTTTCTCCGTCTAGTTTAAAGGAGGTTAGAGTGAAAATGTACATCCACAGGTAGGGCCAGTACCAGTAATGGTGATGGACCACTTGGCCAATATTTGTGGAGAGGTTGACATTAGAAATGGAGTGATGAATTAAAGGCATTCTCAATGGAGATAGTTGGAAGGGATAGCTAAACCAAGTTTTCTATGTCAATATAATTTGAGAATGCATTCCCAGCTCAACTTCCTTGACATTGATAAATGTGTTTTTTTGGTTTTTTTTCTTTTGTTTTGAGGGTGATGCAAACAGCGTATGCAATTAGACGGAAATCGGTAACGTGTACAGAGAAAATTGTGCCTTATTGAACATGTTCTTTCCTGTTGACCTGGTGGATCAATCAATATGGCAGTCTATTTGAGTAAGTGCAGTGACATAAATTGCACCCAACAAACAAAACAGGAAGGTTGTATGTTGAAATTTTGAAAAGAGGACATAAAGTCAACTGAACTTCACTGACAGTGTTCTGAACTGCGCGTCGAAAACGTGCACATTCGAGACTTTTGCCCACTTAGAAAATTCTTAGGAAATTCTTATTCTGTCATGTGAGTTGGGTCACCCTCTGATTGAATTTTAGCGGCAGAAAGTTGCTGATTGAATTAGTGCTTACCCTCTTGGCTTCTTTGAGTTTGTTGCCGAAGAAATCGCGTTCAAAAGGCCCAGGCTGACAGAGAAAAAAACATGGCGTGCTCTGAGTTCTGCTGCTCACATTCCCGTCAAAAATGCTTCATCCCAAGAGCTTCAGTGGCGACTAGATTGTGCAAACATCTCAAGGGGGAGAAAAAAAAAAGACAAATACTTGTATTGAATTCCACTGGCAGGAAGCTTTTGCATTTGCCAGGGAGAGTCTGCCTTTGCTTCTCTCACTCGAATTTCTCAGGTGGCGGCAGGCGGCCGGTTACCCAATAGGAACACGGATCAACGGGAGAAAAAAGGGCCAGTGCACTTCTTAAACCGTTTCATAGTCGAGTCTTTCCTTGGAGAAACTCCGTTCTTTCACAAGAAATAAATGTGGCCCGCTCGGTGAAAATGAGTCACAAGGCCTTTGTTTTTTGTTGTTTTGGTCAGCAATTAAGTTTGTTTTGGTTTGCATGAAAAGAGTGAGCGTAGCTCTGTGTTTCGATGTACATGTATCACTCATTGTGGCATCCTGAATGTTGATGGTGTAGTCAAGCTATTTTTAAATGGCCTAGCCTTAAACTAGAATAATACTTGGTATACAGAAAGGGCTGCTTTGCCCAGAAGTAGAGGGTCAGGTTTTGGCAGACTTATGCCGAAAGCATTATGTAAATAACGAAAAAGAAGAAAAAATGATCCACCTGGGATTCTATGCAGTTTCGCACACTTTCTTTAATTAATCAAATAAATCAATTACAATGAATAATTATTATGAAGAGGATGCGAGTCACTAATGGGCCACGTCTCCGTGGCTTACCCTTAGCTGTATACTACTGCCAAATGGACCACCACGGCGATGTGACAATATCAGCACACTGTAGGTACACGCTGGAGTTTGAAGCGACCACCACGTCCGAAGTCAGTGAGAAAAACATGAGAGAGTGACACAGGCTGTACTGCCTTTATTTGCTGGTGCATCTGGAATAAACTCTTATGCAAATCATCCACGGCTTCAGTAGAGTCGCTCCATCAATGGGGTCGCTACAATGGTCTCCACTGATTTGTATGGTGCAAGGTTGTCTTAAATACCTGTTACTCAAAAGTGGCTCTGATGACTTCTAACTCAGATTTTGATTCAAGCTCTGAATAAAATGAGTTTCCCTTTTCCCCAAAGTTTGGCACCGTTTAAATTCTACCTAAAAATAGTTAAGAAATTATTGCTTTACAGAAAGTTCTTAGACCAAAGCTCAGGGGTTTTTAATAGTCCAGTTTTAATAAAACCCAGGGTAATTCTATGGTGAAAAATGGATCTACTGTATAGATTGTCCCCTTTTATGACAGCCTGCTATGAACTGTTAAAGTTGATAATGTGAATTGGGAGGCTGTGGATGCTTTGACGAAGAAGAAACATACATAGAGATACGCGCCCTTGACCTTTTGTAGGTTGGCGTGGGTATTTTGATAAGGCCTGTGGGATGACTTCTGAGTGCGCTGGAATGCACTCTGTAGATCTGCGGCTCAAAGCTTTTCCTCTCTCTCGGTTGTCAAGTAGAAAGTGCGTGGGCAATACGTGCGCAATCAGCGCCGAGACATGAAATCAATGGTTGTGTACATGATCAACGTAACCATTGTACATGTCAGCATGGACATTGACCGTTGAAATGCTTTCCTGGCATTGAACCCCAGACGAGGTTCGAGCGAAGCCCCATCCTTTCCTCTTCCCACACAGTTCCTCCAATTTTACTTCACTTTTTAACGGGACATGTGCCGTTCTCCCCAAGTACCACAGTTTCATCCACGTACATGTATACAGATGGGCAACCACCCTTGCTGGGACTACCTGCAGGAGCCCCACGATTAAAAAAAAAACCCTTTGTCAGATCCGATTGCAAGTTAGCTGTTGCACTAAGAGCGATGTTATACATATTTATGAATAAATGTGAATTTTTCTTTGGACAGTCCTGTGGAGGCGGAGTTCATCTTCTCCCACTTCCAACCCCCCCTCCCACGAGGTTAAAAAAGATGCGTTAATAGGGTTTCAGAAGGTATTTCCCCCAAAACAGAAAATACTACCCTTCGTTGTATGATCCACAGATATGTGACTTGGTATGGGTATGAATGGACTGGTAGAAATGATTTGATCATGAGGTCATCAAAGCTGGATAAAGAAATTCATAATGATCTGGGTCTTGCCAATAAAAGCAAACGTGCTGCGCAAAACCGGCAAATTAGATTGCATGAGAGTATGCGCGTTGTACAGAGCCCCGGGCATCTGCACAGTGCTCACTCGGTGCAGATAAACATTATTTAGATAGAGAAAAACAGTTTGCCAGCCAGATCACCGAATTGATGAATATTTGCAGTTTGTTTATGAAAGGTTCTCAGCTGATTCCATCTTTAAATTTTGTTATAATGCCCAACCATTCAGTCTTACACCTTTTCATGTGTAACATACATACATGTACTTTCTCTCTTTGTTGAAGTACTGTACATGTATTTGTGCACTTGTACATGGTGCCTTGTGGGGTACCGGAACAATGGAAGGTACCCCACAAGGCCAGTTTTGATCCTTGTGGGGTACTAAAATGGTTCCCCACAAGAATTTCATGAAATAGATATTTCAAATTTACTTAAAAAGGAGGAATTTTCAAGTGCCATTCATGTGTCGCAAATTGAAGTGTTTTATATAAGGGACATACGTCGAAATTTCAACCCAGGAAACTGAATTTGGTTGAGATGGCAGTGATTTGAAATTTTTTCCGTGTTGTGTGGGAGTTTTGTACACGAGAACAAAGGAAATACCCCAGAAGTATGTACGGGGTGGGCGTGTCTGTGTAGATCAAGTGGCAAATATACATGTACATGTAGAAAGAGGGCGCAACTATTTCTGCGTCCACACCAACCCAACATGCTGCATGGTTGACAAACCTGCAAACAGCACTGTAAGTTTTTGAAATAATTTCAAATAATGGTTTTGATGGGGGAAGGAGTGACGTGTCAGGTGAAACATCTGCAGGCATCGATCCCCTCTGGGCTCCTTTTCACTGCTCAGTGTTAGAGATTCACCAGGATAATTTCCTCCTCAACCGGCAGAGTTGTAGACTCAAGTCACTTGACTTGGACTCAAGGCGCTATTTCTGTGACTGGTGACTTGACTTGTAACTGTCAGTTTTTGACTTGTGACTTGACTTGGACT